TGTTGGATTTTGTGAGGCTCAGTATGCTTTCTAGTGCAGGAGCCTAGGGGGCTAGGGTTAAAGGATTTTCATACTACGAAGGATCTTCGACCTCAACTGATGCCCGCAGTATTCAGGAATAGTTTTGTGGATACATGAACAGTAAGACATGAGTATAACACAAGAGATAGATATAAAGGTTTTTCTTCGATTGTGACATTTTATTAATTTCACTAAGCTTTTTATTTCACAAAATTGTCATAAATTAAAAAAACTAATGCCAGCAGTTGCACTTTGCTCCTTTTTGTTTTTTAATTTAAAAAAGTCCTGTGTGGGATATATTTTGGTGAAAATTAATCCTGCACTGAACTGGTTAAAGTAATTGCAAAATGTTTGCCAGTTGTGCAAATGACTTTTAGTAATTCTAAATTGAAAAGTGGTTGTCTTGTCTCACGGAAAAAAAACCTCTCGTCCAGTTTCACTTAAAAGTCAGTGTGTTAGTGTGCCGCTGTCAGTGCCCTGCTTCACTGACAGCTCTCTGTACAGAAACTTGTCAGTAGCAGTAAATGTTTGGTCATGGTATTCCAAGTGGTTAACCTTTTTTTTTAACAGTATTTTGACAACATGCATGTGTTAGTTATGGGCTTAAAAATTCAATAATCTACATTACCCCAATAATTTGCATTACTTCATCGCTCTTGGAAATTAGGAAAATGTGTTCTGAACTTACAAAATCATATGTCAGATGTAACAGGGACAAGAAAACAAAAATGGACCCTAAATTTCTGGAATTACCAATGTACGTGTATGTGTACATGTGTTTCTATGAATGCACTTGATAATGTATATGAGGGTTCCATTTGACCCAGGTAGCTTGATTAAAGGATACTGTTATGTCATTTAGTCAATCATAAGTGTACCCTTATTAAATTCTATGGTTCTCATTTCTTTTACCACTTGAGATAAGGTTGGTCGGTCAAAAAAAAAATCCCTAAAAAAATTCCATGTTGCTGGTGTATAAATTGTTCTCTCTGCATTTTTGATATACATAAGTATCAAACAAAGATAAATGTATAAAAAAATTTAAAAAACATGTTTTGTGTGTATACTTGCATGCAAATGGAATATACATGTTCTTATTCTTACCGGAAGCCACAAAGCATACTGCGCTGGACTGAAAATCCCCTTGTACGAGTCTTGGTCAAGACAAGTGTAGGGCTATGCACGAACCTCAGTGGGCCACGTAAAGGTGCGGTATACTGAATGTTCACGCAAACGCCGACCGTCGCTGTTGGTCGTTTGCGAAATTGTAAGTTTTCATGGCTTTTGTTTTCAAAGGTCTTGCTGCCCATTTGTCCCCTTCATTTGTGGGGGGTTTAGGTCTTTTTAGCAGGGTTGGCGGGAAAAAACAGTTTTTTTTTCTGTGATCGGGAGCCCAAAATAGGGTCGGTTGGAAATGAGAAGAACCATAGAATATAAAAAGGTGCCCTAATGGCAAGGCATTTGTATTCATTCAACTTGTCTTGTTTTTGTTATTTTCAAAAAATTTTTCCATGCGAGTGAAATAAAGACGTGTCCATGTACTTGAAGGGAGAATGATAACTGTAGTATGTTGCAATTAATTTTATTGGACATACAGTACATGTAACAGTGACTCGTCATTTCTGAAAATAACAAGTCTGTTATGTTGAAATGCCCTGGTGAGAACCCAAGTGCCACTGTAAAGTTAATATTTTGAACTTCTTTTAAATTCTTTGCAGTTAGAGGGGCTAGACCTGGAAAGAATGTGCAGTTAACAGAAGCAGAAATCAGAAGTTTGTGTTTGAAATCCAGAGAAATTTTTCTCAGCCAGCCCATCCTTTTGGAGCTAGAGGCACCCTTGAAAATATGTGGTAAGTTGGATATTGGCTTTTATTCATTGTGTATCGTTGGCACATTTCTGAGCAACTTAGTATGTCATTTTAATTTTCAATAACCAAAAAATAAAATGAACCCAAATGAATTTTACAGTGCCATTTTAAAACACATTCTTTTAGTGGAATGATGATTTTTTTATACATCATCTTTGCATTTTGGAAGTGTGTTTTGTTCTGTGAAGAGAAATGTGAAAAACATATTTGCTAATAGCAAGGTTTTGAAATATCACAGCGTTATGCATGGTGTGCATAGCGCTGGATACCAACCAAATCTTCTGCTCACGTGCGTTCGTTCATATCCGTGCATGCAATGCGACTACGTACAGCTGTGTGGTGTGAATACAGACCCAAAACAATAATAATCTCCTGGGCAAGCAGAAGTTATGGAAAAGTTTAAAGTGTTAGAAAGAACCGAGAGTTTGAGGGACACAGAAGCAAAGGTAAAAAATAAATGGAACTGGACTTGGCTGTAGGAAAAGAACGACAATGGCGACTTTCTTTCAGAGTACCTTTGGAAACCTGGAAACTTTACCAAGGTGGGCTTGCATCCCTCATGTGGTGCAACAAACAAATCTGTTACATTTTGGGGGAAAGAAGGCACTGAAGGCTCACGCCAGTATTAAAGGATGTCCACAAGAAAAACAGATTGGCCAGGAAAAATGCTCAGGAGCTTGAGTTGTATTCCAAGCTGTAGCAAGGAGGACTTTGGCAGTTGCAGAGCCAGTAACAAGGTATCGGTGTCTGTTCAACGCTGTACAGTGCTGTGTTTTTTGCAAACAATGTGGTATTGGCTCTTTGTCTTGGCTTGTCAATCCTAATGCCCTCTTCCTATGCATCCTTCCTATTGACAAGCACTTCATGGAACTAGTTTTTTTTAATCCAGCATTGATTATAGGCTAGGTTAAGGCTTCGTCGTACATGTAAGGCTTAATTGCCACAGCTGAGAGTTGTTTATGCCTTTTTTTTGTACATTTTTTCTTGTAAAAACTGAACATACTAAGGTAGCTCATATCAAGAAAATGATCCTGTCAACATGGTGATTGCAGCATCAGCTCCTAAAAAGGCCAAAGTCAGCAAGTAATAGGCATATCCAGTAAGGTTGTTTGATTTAACACAGTATCTCTTTTTTTTTTTTCCTGAAGTTTGTTTGTACACTTATTCTATGAAAAATTTCTTACAACAGTCATGGGAGTGACCTAAATATATAAATCCACTAGCTGATCCACTGGTACATTGCGCACTTCTCACAATATGCATCCGCTCGGTACACGTGTTACTAAGCCTTTTTTTTTCGCTGCCGTTTGACACGGTTAGTAAAGTTCAGGCTTTTTCTAGCAGACCTTGTTGGCATCTGATTTTTCTTCCTTGTGAATGCACCAATTTTTTCCATTCTTTCTTGTCTACTGACACAATGGCTGGGCCAAAATTTGGACGTCTGCTTTACGACACCGAACACGTAGGGAAACAGTACTGGAGTGCTGTAATGCACAGGATTGAATCTAATGTACAGTACAGGTCAGACGAAACAAAAACACATACAGTGTACTTGATACGCTGTTCAATACACGCTTTTGGGGTTTTTTGTGCATTGCTTGTCCATTGCACAATAAGCCTGGCTCTGGACCTCATTATCTTGATGGGGTTGTGACCGCAGACCGTGAAAGGTCACCAGCATCATGTACATGTAGTGAACAAATGCGCATGCAGTGAGGTAGCTCTACCTTTGTGCATTGTGTTTGACCAGGAGTAGTGACAAAGTACAGCTGTTTTCTAGTTATCACAATCTTTATTCAGTCGCTGCAGCCTAACAATCGAACCGAAGTAAAAATCATTGAACATGGCACTTTCAAACCAAACCAAACTGGTCAGTTCGGATGTTCGGTTTTAATATGGCATTGTAGTGCTAGCGCACAGGATGCATGCTAGAAAACTTGATAGAAAAGCAAACACAACGAAAATTGGATAATGAGTTATGCTGCACCAACGCTTGGCACATGTGCATGTACAGGTACGGTAAATGGACATGTATGTGTACATGAAACTTACTGTGGCCCCACATCACGCGATGGTTGTAAAAGCATGTGGTGGGAATTCATTAATAATCAACCAAGAATATGCAAGGTACGGCGTTTCCGCTGCACATCAATTCTAAATTCTCACTATATCCAATTGTGCTTACGTATATGGGTCATTGCATTAAGCTGGACATAACAAAGTGTGACAAAGGAGCTGAAATTTCAAATTCACTTAAGTGTGTCATTTTTCCCCAAGTTTTGACACATTAACTGAGTTTATCACAACTACATGTAGTAATACTTTTGCAATACCTTAGGCGGACAAAGAAATACTGCGGTATTATGCAACATGTAGCAGGTTGTAGATGTAACACGGAAACCACACAGAGTTTCAGCACAAAGGGAAGATTTCTCTGAGTTACAGTATGTAATGACGATTCATTTGTTATGGTCTAAAGATTGGCAAGTGTAACAAAAATGAAACAATAAAGAAGGGAATGTACCACAAGACAAATGTCAGGGTAGGTACATGAACTCATTTTGGGAGACTATCCAGACCAGGTACCGTGCAGTCGGTCTCAGCATTTTCCTGTATTCAGTCGGCATGGTAGGGTTCGAACAAAGTGTAATCTTTGTGGTCATATACGGTGCATGGATGGCAATACTTGTGTTGATCTTTACCACATTTATTTACTGATTATATTCAAAATACACTGTCAAATTTCACAGAAAACATTGCCAAAAAATTGGCAACTTAATTTACAATTTTCCAGCTGGAATGTTGCCAAAATCTTGTCCCCACATGGGGCTTGAACGGAGAACAATGGCCTACACGCATAAACGCACCACATTGTTTTGGCTAGCACGTTTCCTCACAGCATGGAATCGCTCTACCGTTAATCCTTGAGCGATAAGTGGAACTAGACGTATTAGCAACAAGACTATACCATTTTTGACCTGGAGGAGCATTTCCTTTTTTTATGTTTAGATAATAAAACTGTCATGGAAGTATGCAAACTGGAGTGATTGCTTAACTATATTTTCATTTTGAAAATGTGCTCAAAACCTGTTTATGTACGAGTTAAATTGATGGCTCCTCCAAGGGGATTGCGGTACCACCCCTGTTTTTACATAATGGTAACCGACTAACAGTCATTGCAATAACAAGATCTGGACGTAACTTGAAAACCGTCTGGAGTTTTTCCCGATCAATTGTAAATTGTAAATAATCCAAATCTGTCTAATCTGTCTAATCAATGATAGCAGTCTTTAATGGCCAAATTTTCTTTCGACAAACTTTGGGTGGGTAACTGCATCACGGATGTAATGTGTGGAAACTGTGTTTGGTAAGCGGGTAAATACGTGCCGAACGACATCTGGCACATGATGTATTGTTTGGCAAATTCTAGAAAGGGCTGTTGAAGTATGGAAAAATCCGTTTCCAACGAGGGGTGCACACTTCTACTTTATGGAACACCAAGGATTGTGGATGCAACAGAATGGCTGCGGAAACCACGGGGGTCATTCTGGCAAGAACAAATTATTTCTTTTGAAATGAAAAACAGCAGCGAATGCCTAATTCAAAAAAAGTGCATCTGGTTTGTAATTTTCAAACCGTGGTGATGTAGTTAACAATTATTTTCCAGGTCCAAAAAATGAACTCCTGAGTCGGACGTAACG